GATAAACAGATATTTACAAAATCTCAATGGGGCAGCAAAGTATTAAGTTCACTTTGCCTTTTTGTAAACTGAGGCCAAATTCAACTGACTTCTCTAACATCCCACAAGAGCAATTTAACAAAAAGACTCTCAATCCAGTCCTCTATATTAAACACACGAGCAAGAAAAACCTCTAGTGCTTTTTTTTCTTGCTAGCAATTTAAAATGTTTTCCAATGTCTTACCATCTTTTTGTGTGTAGTTTAGTGCTTTTTTTTCTTGCTAGCTAGCAATTTAAAATGTTTTCCAATGTCTTACCATCTTTTTGTGTGTAGTATCAGGTAATATGGGCATGCAGCTTCACTGTTTTTTTTCCAAGTCATAAATGATGAAAGGGTAAAACCCATAGAAAAATTAGGAAAATACACTTAGCAGCCAACACAAGCAACACATAGGAAGTGCTGTAGGCAATTGGGTTTAGAAGTATAAACATCACATTAGTAGACCCATGAGATAGCATGATGTAGCCACACCTGGAGAGACACTCTCCTATTCCCCTCCCAACCCACTAATGAAAACAAGTCTGAAGCCAAAATGTGAAGATTCAACTGTACAACATCATTTCTGGTCTCAAAGGCTAACTACATCAAACAGACATAAAATAAGCTGGATTCACTTCAGCCAAAATATGTTTCCACTTGAAACAAGATCAAGTTCTGTCTAGAAGACCTCGGGGTTTTACTAGATGCTGTAAATCTGTTCAGCAGCTGTGGGTGGCACCAGTTTCACAATAAAGTGTACTATGGAGTAAGTAGGAAAAGTCCTAGGTAAAATAACTAAAAGCTGAACAATGAAACAATCATTAATCATCCATGGCTTTTTCCTGTAGGAAATATGTGCCCCTATTATCTGGATATCACAGTGAAATATGCACATTAGTATGTGGCTCACAAAATACCAAACACTTTCATTAGTAAGTGATCTTTCAAAAAATACTTGAAAAAACACCCCAGCCAGGAGGAATCCCAAAAAAAACAAACCATCCTACATCCAATTTTTCCCAAGAAAATGGGTTAAATAAAAAATAGTAAAATTAAAACTGAAAAAAAAACCCCACACAGAAAATGCTCTAAATACTTGATTGCATCACAAAAGTAAATTGCATTACAAAAGTAAATGCTTATATTTCTGCAACTCTGAGCATGCATGGATCTCCAACAGCTGTTCTAGCTAAAGCCTGGCAAGCTCTTCTAGGAGACTGTTGATGAGGCCAGGGGTACTACATAACAATACATTCAGTGGAAATTCACCTGTGGGTGCTCCACCCAAACCATAACACCATTTATTCGGGCACAGGAAAGGCAAACCAGCCTTGGGCTTGTGACCTGCACTAACCTCAACACCAGCCAGCCTACTGCAATGAAGACTGCCACCACAGAGGTCAGGTTGGCTGAAACTAGCTGAGGGAAGTTGGGTGCCAAAGGTGGAAACAGCTGGCTGGTCATCAGAATATGTTTCAGCAAGAACCTTACAGTTGATTATTCAGTCACTCAGGGAACTGCAAAATACATATTTTCCAGTCACACCCCAGAAAATATCATCAGTTATAGAGAAATCCCCCTCATGAGATTCTTACTACTTTGACCTGTGGAAAAGAGCTAAGGCCCACCTGACTCCCTTTTATGAGCTCACATATTCCTGCTTGCTACACATTCCCACTCTTGTAGCTCTTCCAGAACAACTTCACGTGTCAGAAATAGCCTGCTTCTGACAGAATGATCTGAAATAAACTATTATTGAATAGTTTCTATGCTAACATAGGTTATTTTTGCAGAACCAGAGTGGAATGCAACTACACACAAAATCACACCTGCATACCTGGGCAGGAGAAGGAAAAACACAGAGCAAGAGAGGAGCAGCCTGCAGCAAGATTCCTTAATCTGGCTCAGCTGCACTTCATCTGATTATAGTCCTGGTAACCCTGATAGTGAAAGCTGAAGCTTCTGTGAAGTGCTCCAAGCATGGTACTTTCTGTCTCTCTGACCAAAATAACAATCCTGATCATGGGCTGAATAAATCACAGGGAAAAAAGGGAACACAAAATACCCCTGCAGTTGTGAAAAGAATGCATATTATAAACATGGCTCCCAAAGGGAAAAGAAAACAAATTAAAAGCAAAGATAAGCATATAACTCATGTTTAGCAGAAAACTGTTTGACAGCTGTGACTTTAAAAGAAATAATGTATGATTTCAAAATATTACTCTTCAGTAGTTTTTTGCACAAGACTTGCTCAATTGCTTTCAGTGCATATGAAAAAAATGCTGTCAACATAAATAGTGCCAGAGAGCTGAAATTCTGTAGGTGATGATCAATGTATCAATGTATTTGTCCAAACCATTAGGAGAACATTACAGATCAGCTTTGGAGCATGCAGTCTCTCTAGTCTGCTCACATCCTCCAAGATGGATTTAAAACTCACACAGACTCCAAATGCCCAATTCTGCCATAGTGAAGATTGCACCCAAGATCACAACTGGCCTTTTGGATTTGTTGTAGCACACGTTTCTAGTCTGTACTTTTTGTTTACAAGTATTTTTCAAACAGAGTGCAGTCTTATGAATAAAGATGTGCTTTTCCTCTGGCCACAACCCTGCTCATTAAAAAATACCCATTATACGGAGCACCTTCAACTATAAGTGAGATGCAGTTTGGTTAAGTTAAGGACATGGTGAAGAACCTTTGATGGGACTATAGTAACTCATATGCTCCACAGTGCTCAGTCCCCTCTAGAGGGAGTCCACTAACTGCACTAAGGAATGGAGAACACTGTCCAAGACACTGCACAATTCTTCGACCTCATTCTGACTTTGTTCTTTCCTTTTTCCTTAGAAGAAGCTGTATCATTTTGGGAAAAGGGTATCATTATCAGATTTGGTTTCTTCAGAAGTTACTCACCAGTAAGCATTTTTGCATTGGCTCATCCTTACTTGGCCTCAAACAGGCAGCTTTGCTATCATTAAAGCAAGTAGATCTAACAGTATGTATGTATTGAAACCGTGACACGTTCAATAAGAACCACACTCAGCCATCACTGGGAGAAAATTCTAAGGCTTGACTTCTGAAGGATTCTTAAGTACATGCCATCACGGCAAGAAAAAGTGGTTCTTCTGTACTGAAAAGATTTCTTAGCTTCACCATTTAAAATCTGAAAAATCTTACCTTAATCTATTTTTACAAACGTGTGCTCTTTTCATGTGACCAGACTCTGCTGCCTTCTCTTCCCATGATGGAAGAATACCTGTGACTGAGTTTGGCTAGCACTCCAAAAATGAGCTAACTCTTTTTCAAAGCAGGAGTGTATTTGTTTCCCTAACACACCAGAGCAAGAGATGGGTGACCATGTCTGACTGCTCAATGTCATATTTCATTTACACCTCTGTTATCTCAGTTAAAATAGTCGTATGTGTCTTTTCCATTAGGATACACAGACACCTAGTACTAAAAAAAGTACTTGTGAAAGGAACAAAACGTTAAGACTGTTCAGAAATTGGAGTCCTTTCTTTTCTTTTTAGCTAGTTAGAGCATTTTAGAGGGAAGAGAAAAAAATCACAAATCAGAGCAGAGAATGCAATAGCAGTTTGATCATCACTGCTTAAATTAACAATTCCTCTCCTTATTCTAAGCACAAAGTAATCCATTGCTTCTCTGTAGCAGTACCAGACTACTTTACTTCCTATGCTGGCCAGTAAAAAACTAGAAGCAAGGCTCCTCCTCATTTTCCCTGATTCATCTTTTTTCAGGTAAAAGTGGCCTTTGAGTGTCTGTTCTTGTCCTTATGCCACTCACTATGGAGGATATAACTTGTGGAAGGAAATTAAAAGGTGCTTTACTTTCCCCTATAGATACATAAGGCAAGCAGTGACCCAGCCCTGCATATGCTATACATTACAAAGCTGTTATGCCTGCCCTAAGTGTCTCTTTCTTTTTCTTTAATACCATATGGTACTAATTATCTTTGTGGGTACAAATAAAAATAAAGACTTCTTGAAACCACATTTGATTTATTCCTGACCACTGAAAAATCAGTAATAGAATACACTGTCAAACCACTGGCATGGAATGTGAATAATGTCTACCCTGCACTATGACTTCCCTCACATACAAACCTACATGCAACTACATTACAAAACATGAGGCAAGGAGAATTATGCTGAAGTCAGGATTCCCTATATACAACCATTGCTAACACCAACTACACAAACAAGCTTCACAAATTCAGTAAATTTTAACAGAAGGTCTCAAGGCACTGACAGGGATGGGCCAGAGGATAAGGAAAGCTAGACATCCTAGAGAAAAAAAGCATCTTGTTCAAAAAAGCCAAAGAAGTAAATTAGCATTTTGAAATGGGTACTGCAATGGCTAAACAGTTAACAGTACTGCCTAGGTTACTGGCAACTACAATGAAAATAAATGGAGGAGTGAGGGAATAAAACACACAAAAAAAAAATCACACTTAAGGTGTTGACTCTTCCATCATTTACCTTCCACCTTTACAGTTTGAAAGTGTTTTCAGAATTAAAACTCTAAACTATTAAGGTTCTTCATCAAGGTAGCAAATTACTCACAAATCTACAATATTTTAAAGCTCTGTAGCTGAATATTCATATTATGCCAAAGTGCTTAGATTGCTTCAAATGGGCACATGGGAAATTTGTGATGCTCAATTTGTGGTTAGTTACTAATGCAGCAACATTTTGCATTAATGAAACTCCTGATGTGCATTAATTACTGTACTGGCTTGTAACACATTTTTGTGCCTATTAGTTTGCTAATACTTAGAATAAAAATAATCATGTATGACTTGTGCAAGTAGGGAAATGTAAGCCACAGCTCATTTGGAATTTAGAAAAAACAGACTATATTAAGGAACCATGCAGTTTCTCACCAGTTATTCTTGTGCATGAGAAGATGCCATTAATGAAATGCATCAGCACATCTGAGTTCCTAGAAATGAACTTACCTTGGAGTCCCTAAAAATCGCTGTGATCTCAGTTGTTCAGCCACATACAAAGATGCTGCTGTTGCCAGTAGTTGTCTTCTTTCAAGATCTGTCAACTTGTGTCCTAGTTTTCAGAAAGAAGTTAAAAAAGAAAAATTAGATACCACAGACCAACACAGACACAAAAAGTAACAACTACCAGTAAAGACATTGCTCAGTCCTCACACATGAAAGCTACATATTTTCCCTTTAAATTAGGATGAGGCGTAGCATAGCAGACGCTCTGAGTTTCAGAGTTTAAATTGCATGTTTTCATACAAATCAGCCCAACTGCTAACACTGGTATCTCTGTTAAAAACAATTTGACAACTGAAAGAAAAGAAACTGAATGATGCTGCAGCATCTTGTTTTCGTTACTGAAATGTCACCGGTTGACATATTGTGCCTCATGCTGGTAAGGAATCCATCTGTACATTAGAACTTACTCAAAATATAGAACACTCTCAGTACTTTATCTGAGGCAAAGGCTACAGATCTTTCAAATAAAAGGGACAGCACAACAGTATAAACCCAAAAAATAAATGGGGATGAGGCTACTCATCAGCCCTGGGTCATTTAGTGTTATTTGTGTAATCATTAGTTCACAACTAATGGAGCCAAAGTCACACTTGACACTTTAGAAGCACAAAGTGGCTCAAAGCATTCTATAATCTGAAGTCAGGCAACCTAACAAATATTCGGCAAAAAGATACAACTGGGGTGACAGGAAGCAGGTTTTCTCCCAGTCTGGTCTTGTTCCAGAAAGTGAAGGTTAGATAAAGATTAAACTGTCCATTCAAGAGGCTAAAAAGAGCACAGGAACAGAACTCTGCCCTCTCCATCTTTAGGTCAGAAATCACACAACAGATATTTTGTATGAAAAGGTGGCAAATATGTGGCCAAGAATGATGTAAGATTCCAGAGAAGGACCACCAAGATGAGTAGAGAAATGGAGCATCTCTCTTATGAGGAACAGCTAAGAGAACTGGGATTGCTCAGCCTGGAAAGAGAAGGCTTCAGGGTGACCCAACTGCAGCTGTCCAGTACCTGAAAGGTGCCTGCCAGATAGATGGAGAGAGAATATTTTCAAGAGCATGTAGTTAAAGAACAAGAGGGAATAATTCAAACTGAAAGAGTTTTTAGACATTAGGAATAAATTCTTTACTGCAAGGGTGGTGAGGCACAGGAACAGGTTGTCCGGGCATGAATGCCCATCCCTGTAAGTCCTAAGGCCAATCTAGTCTAGTGGAAGGTATCCCTGCCCATGGCAGGGGGGTAAAACCAGGTGATTTTTAAGGTCCCTTGAAACCCAAGCCACTCTATGATTCTGTGAGAGAGAACAAAAAGACAAAGTACTTGGCTTACAAGGCAGGAAGTTAAATTTATACAAAACAGGACAAAAACTGCAAAGCTGAATTGTCATGAAGAAAAGAGGCAAACTTTATCCTTGAGAAACAGATTTTGCATAAGTGACAGCAAGAGCATTTCCCAAGGAAGAGAGGAGAATTACACAATTAAGTTAAAGGTTGAGAACTGAAAGACTTTGCTGAACTCAGTTACAACACAGCTCTCAAAAAGTGTTTTATGTGTACATACCACAGCAAATGCCATCATCCAGAAAAAGTACAGATTTCACATGAAAGGATGGGGGAAAAGCTTTGGAAGGCTCTATCTCCCAGAGGAACTCTGCCCAGAGAAACATATTTGCTTCCAGTCCTGCAGCAGACAGTCACACAGATCCCTTCTATACCTCCACCATCCCATGCCCTCAGTGCTATGTAATGTAAATTCACATTCCCCAGTACTGGTTACTAGCCAGTGACAATTTCTATCAGCAGAATAAAGTAAGACTAATGAGATTGTGAAGAAAATCCAGAATGGAGACTGCTGTAAAGGACTGGAGCAGACTCTACAGCAACAAACCCACAATTTCAAAACAGGATGTCTTCTGCACAGAACCCATCATTCCACTGGGCATATGAAACAGGGTTAGGTAAAGAGGCTAGGTTGGAGTCCACCTCAGAAATGCAATCATGCCACAGTGATGGGAATACATTCATTAAAGTCCAGCTAACAGTACAAAGAAGTTGTCACAGGCCAAAAAATGCAAATTTAAAAATAACAAAACTCAGAAAATCTGCATCAATCTCTTTAATTTAGTCTGCATTAGCATATTCTGGCTGAATATTACTGCAAGTTCCTTTGCTCAGTGTTTATTTTTTTATCTGCCTTGAAATGGAAACTATCTTCACTTCAACAAACACATGCAGAAATACAAATGCTGAAAGGTTTAGAAGCTGGCTTCAGAAATAAACTCGATATTTCCTTTGCCAGTTACTAGAAAAACTGATTGCAAAGCAAAATTCAAAAAGCACTGAACTTTTGTACTATTTGTACATATACACACACACATATATGTGTATATATATAAGCCTTATGTAATTATACATTGCAATAACATCAATTATCTGGATCTGAAATTTCTGCCAATTTTCCCATTGCTTACACACAGTGAAGAAACTCTGAGATCACTTTTTCAAAACACTGAATCTAAAACTGATGATTTGTTTACATGCCCCAGGCTAAAGGCACATCAGGAATCTGCCCTAAAGCCTTTGCCTTTCAGTCCCCCTGCCCAACACTCATGACAAGACCTGTAACCAAAACTGCACATTCCCACCTGCTCTAACACACACTGTTAGAACCAACTTAAATAAAGGAACAAGGTAAAACTAGAAAGGTCCCATTTCAAAGATTTTATTGCATGACCCTCTTCCTAGATAAAGTAACTGCTTTTGAGCTTACTGTGCTCAATATTTTCTTCCTGTATCTTCAATAGAAATCAAACTCCAAACAGCGAACGAAGGTCAATAAGTTGAAACAGGTTAACAACGGATCAAGAGTCACATTCACTTCATTACTGCCAAAATGAAAAAAATATTTATCCCTTTGTCACTATTTACAGCAGTTGTGTCACACATGTGGCAAGCAGAAAACCAGTTATTACTGTAGTATCCAATGTAGGATTTCTGGGAGATAATAGAAACATAGATAATACGTTCCTGTTAACAGGAACATAGCAAAATTAGGTTTTGGTGTCTGGCAATAAACATACAACCCTACCACAGAATGTCCTTAGCATAACTTTGGAGACATACCTCAGAAGTCTGATTAAAGGCTGCTTCCTAAGGATAGCAATTTACTTTTATTAGCAGGACAGACTGCTGTCAATCGTGCCTTAGTTCTCTGAACTCCACTCCTATTCCCCTTGCTGTCTGCTTTTGTGCTGCTGCTAGCTCAGCTGAATTCTAAACAGTTTTGAAGTCCAACTTACAATTACATTACTGTATTTGGAAATACACAAATGTTCCAGATAGTAATACCTTGGCTTCCCATTAAGTATTATTCCTCTTCAGAAGCTACTCCTCAGGATTTCAGTTGGGTGTCCTGAGGAGTAAGTTAATATTCACCATCAATAGACATATAGCAACACGATCCTTCATGTTCACCATACAGATTGATTTGGAGAGTAACAAAGCTATCTCTGGAGCAGTTGTTCAAGTGCTTCCTTAAAAGAGAGTGAAATGAGAAAGTAGCAAAGGTCCCCCGACTTCCAACACAGAAAGTTACACCATTGCTCTTCCCTGCTCTCATCACTGTAGACTCCTGGCTTACACAGAAATTTCACCTCCACAATAAAACATGGAACTAGCAGCTCCCAAATCTCTCTGCTTAACCTGAGATAAACTTCTGCATTATCACTGAATTATCAGGTGAATTAGATAAAGCAAATGCAAAACAGGAAGAATTATTATAAAAGTAAGTCACAATTAAAGGGGAAGCAATGTTATTCATGTTATTTAAAACTAGACTGCACACATCTATTACTACCAAATGGCAGAACCCTGGTCGGAAGGAAGAGAAGAAAAAAAGCATTTCTCCCTCATTTCCCTGATGTTATGATTGCTTAAATCAATATTATCCCAGTATCCCCCAAGCTGAGTCAAAAAGGTTCATGCAATTACTTTACATAACCAACTTCAAATTAAATTACATAAAGGTCATTTTTCCCATAACAGTCTCATTTGCATTTTGTCCTAGAAACGTGTTTTCTACTATCAATTACAGGGAAAAAAACAAAACAAAACAAACAAGCCCTGATTATGTGCGCCAGTAAGTTACTTAATATTTGAAGAGTGACTGTTTTCTGATTGGGAAGAATAAAAACTAAAAGCATAATGGGAAAGATTAAAAGTGCAATGCATAATTCAGATCAACACCAATGTAAGCAATGTTTGCAACATTCCTAGCTTCTACCTCAAGTTTTTCCTGGTGGAATTTTGAAATTAACCATTACAGACAGCACATATACCAAGTAGGCTGAGGCAGAAAATAAAGTTGAATGTTGTAACTATTAGATGCCAATGCAGAGAAAATGAATGGAATTACCAGCAAGCATCTCCTATATTCTAATAGTGTCAGACAGGGAAAGCTGTGTTCCCCCTCCTACTAATAGCAGAAGCCCCCAGACTTAAATTTAAAAGTCATATCTGCAGTCCCAATTCACCTAAAAAGCACTTTCACTCAGAATCATGGAATGACTGAGGCTGAAGGGACCTTGAAAAGCCCTCAGTTTATTCAGCATGTCCCCTCCCCACGAAGCAATCTCAACATCAAATTCAGAATAGATTGCTCAGAGGTTTGTACAGCAACACCTTTGAAATCCCCAGTCCATCACCCCTGACTCTTGCTGTGCAGCTGTGCAACTCACTGAAGAGCCTGGCTTCATATGCTTGGGAACCCACCCCAAGGTCCTAGAAGGTTGTCCTTAGCTCCACCCTAAGCTTTCTTGCTTCCAGTTGGTTTTCCCAGCTTCTCCCTACAGGTCATCTGTTCCAACACCAACACCACTCTTGTGGCTCTTAACTAGACTTACTCATATTTATTGCCATCTTTCTGACATACATCAGGGGGTTAAAACTGGACACAGTACTCTAAAGATGGTTTAATAAGTGTTAAGCAGAGTAATCATTTAGTCCAACCCTCATAATTACGATAATCACAATGTATCTAAAAGCCTTCATCACATACACAGTCTCTGGAGCCAATATGCCACTTCAGAAGAGAAATGTTTCCTCTTCATTCATTTCTGTATTAGAAATATAAAGAATTTCTGTTCTTTCTCTCCATTCAGATAAAGTAAACATGCTAGAAGAGGGAAAGTAAATTATTCCTGGTTTTGTTTGGGTTTTTTTCTCATGTATTTTGGGATGACTTCTGTGATAATCTCTTGGAAAATGCCATCTTTCATTGGCACAGGATGTGTCTTGTTTTGGTTTTTTTTCTCATGTATTTTAGGATGACTTCTGTGATAATCTCTTGGAAAATGCCATCTTTCATTGGCACAGGATGTGTCTTCCAAAGAGAGTGACTGATTTCAGACATCCTTTAATAACCAGAAAGAGAGGAACATCAAGAAGAAAATCTCAATATTTAAATAAAAAACTAGGAAAATATAAACTGTGAAACAGACTGAACCACAATGACTAATCCCATGAACAGGGTACTAACCTAAAGATCCTTTAATTTATCTTTTGTCCAAGACTCTTCTTGGATCTTTGTGAAAACAGAGATACACTGTCTGTGTAAATAAACAAATTGTAATGTAAATGTAACAAATGTAAAAATTCCTATAAAATAGGGATAACACACAGTAAATTTTCTTCTCATCAGGCAGACCAGAAAGTACAGAGGCTTCCCAGATTGTTTGGAAGCTGCAGAAGAACAGTGCATCTGACTCCTGCATGCTTGGCAGACATTTTTATTCTGTAAGCAAAGTGCTTGGAGGCCACTCTAAGACAGGTGCCACCTGACCTAATCAGTGCTCCTGCACCCACCCTCAGATCCACACACCTCCAAAACATGCATGGGTGCTCAGAGCAAGAACCCACTCCAGTTCACCTACTGCCAGCCAGCATTCCAGGCAGCCATCCCTCACATGGACAAAAAAGGACATGACAGCAGCTGCTTTGCCACCCTAATCATACTCTGCACAAGGGTCTTTCAGCACAGCTAGTATTTTAAAATAACTTGCAATAAACAAACTACTTCTGGTAGTGAATGTTTACCTAAAAATGGGAAGAGTTAAACTCTAATTATGAAAATTACTAAACATGCCCATTCTACATGTAATTTGAAGAGAGCATCACATCAGTTAATGGAAAAGCAGCCAAGATACATCTAATAATCCATTTTTTCTTAACATAAAGATCTTCTAATGGATTATAATGGAATTCATAAAAATGAAACTGGAAAACAAAGAATCTCTTATTTTACTCTCAAGACTCAATATTTATACTTGAAGAAAAATGCACATACAAAATGGGCCAGTACTTCATGCAGTCACCAGAGAGAACACAGTGAGATTCAGTTCTTATCTTCAGTGTAAATCACTACAACTGTAGTGGCAATTGTGCAGGTTACAAAAGAAACACAATGGATTGTGCTTGAGCATTAATACAACATACATCTCTGTTGAAGTTTTCCAAGTTTAAAACACTTCTGGCATGGATTCCTACTGTTAACAGCAGCACATATGTTTACATATTTCCAGATCTGTGTTGGCTATACATTTCTCTAATTTTTCAGACTGTCACAGCTCTTTCTTTTACAGCTATTAATCTTTTATAAGCAATAGTAAGATATATGAAGCTACTTAATTTTCAAATCCTCCTACCAAGGTTTACTCTGGATATTTATATTAAAAAGTTAGTTTAAGTGATTAAAGAAATTACATATAAATTAGTTTTTGTCTTTGCTTCTCTTGTTGAGCTTCTACCTGTCATCTACCCACCACTCTTGCTGCCTTCAACAGTTCCCATTTGAGTCATTGGATTTGTAGAAATATTTTTTAATGGGCACTTAAAAATCTGTCCTCAAATTCAAGTCATCAATTTTTTTTTAAGCATGAAGGATGTGATCCAGTGCAAACTACATCATTAAAAGCACTCTCAGTTTCTTTGGTGAGCTTTTAATCACTATTCACAAGTAACTATTCTTGAGCTGAAGTTCAATGACATAATATGTTTCTTTATCCATAATTAAGAAGGCTAATACGTGCTTGTGTTTGATACATGGAAGGAGATGAGCAAGACTTTTCATACAGCAAGAAAAAAGTCTAGGAATTTCATATGTGCCAATCATTAGTTTCCATTATGAAGCGTCACAATATCTGTTCTTATGTCTTCTGGTGTCCAGAGCAAATGCATATCTTTAAAAATCTTTTAATACAATACTGCTGTTTGATTTAAGTTGTTATTCTTCCCAGTTATGTGCCAGGGGAGGCAGCCTTCTCACAATATGGTATTGGGACTCTAACATCTTGCTTCCTTGCCTTTTTCCTCCATTCCCAGTCTGCCACTCACTTTGTACATCTGCTGAAGTTCGCTAGATTCCTTCATGAGCTAAGTCAACCCTGAAACTTACAAGAAAACTGCCCCAAAAAAAGCAGCAACAGTAAAAAAAATGCAGGTTTCATGGTGGTTTAGAGATCTGGATCTACTCAGGAAAATGACTGAACAGTCCCAGAAACACCGGAGAGGTAAGACATGAGATTCTGTATTCAAATGTCAGGGAAGGGAGAGAGACCAGCTACAGCAGCACCAAGCCTTCAAGAGCAGATGAGCAGAGTACCCTGGAATCTCTGCTGGATGAAAGCCAGCTGAGTTACCCAAAGATTAGCTAAGTACCCCCTAGCAAAAACAACAAAGGAACCTTTCAGCTCAAAGCATGGCAAGCGCACTGCCGCTCAAGGTGGCTAACACCTGTTCCTGTGGTCTCAGTCAGGAGCCAGGAACAAGCAGGATGCATCAATCCCACATGTAGGACTGTATCACACACAGAGTTGTCAATTACATCACGATATCAAGTAGTTCTGGTGCAAAGAATAGTCATCCACACACTCACACACTGAGTCCTGAGGTAAGAAAAATCTGTTCTGCTCCTTAATGAGACTAGAATTTGGCAAGGTGCCAGTCATATCCAGTGACTGCCAATCTGGCAGTGCTGCCTCCAAAGTGAGATGAGGATTCTGCCACATTGGATTAATGATGAATGGGGGGAAAGGAATCTCCACAGGATTCACAAAGGACCCATGAATGATGAACTATAAATACTGTCTTTTTTTTAATAAGAAAGATGTTCTGCCCAGTGAATGCCAGCTGAGGTGAGAGAATAAGAACTGAGTCTCTGACTACACGGGTCAAGAAAGCATCTACATCAGATTGGCTAAGAGAGAAGACAACCTTTTAAAACCTGATCCTTGGGAAAAGAAACTAACCTATTTGTTTTCTTACATGTTTCTAGCAACCATTGGTAAACATTTTTAAAATTATAGCAGTTTGAGATGCTGTAAAGAAATAATTGCATTTGTATTTATGTTAATCTAGTGTATGAGGTAACAATTTCAAAATTATGCCCATTACTGTGTGCAAAGTGTATTAAGACCAGGGTACTGAAATACTCTGATAAAACGCCAGATCCTCCAGAGAAGGCTACAGAGAAAACAAAGGGTGCCAAAAGGCAATTATAAAGGTGATACACCAACTTAATGAAGAAGCAACAGTGCTGAGTGAAAACTTATCCAGCTATAGTTAATGGTAGAAGTACTGTGTGTAATGAAGCATGTTAGCATAGCAGAATTAAACTGATGTTTATTTTACATATTTCATGTTACCTATAAATGGCTTTTCCTGACATTGAGTGTACTTCATTTACTATTTCAACACTACAAGTATGTATTTTGCCTTCTTGAAAATTAAAAAAAAGTTAACTGTTTCAACTTTATGCATTATTTAAAAACTCTAATTGTGTGTATGCACAGATATATTTGAAGAAAAAGTAAAAACTGGGGAGCATGTAAGTCTAAAAATATAAAGGAGCAATAATCAAAACAACACTGCTTAAGAAAAGAAACATTTCCAAATTGAACAAACCTTTAAAACCATCAGGATAGACTTCAGGAAGGAATTTAGTGCTGATGTCTCCTTGAACAAAGCGTGGATGAACGATCACTTCTCGCAGTAAAGAAATATTGTGAGCCACACCTGAAAACAAAACAACCAAATCAATACAAAATCAGGCAATATTAATCACAAATTACAGTAGGAAAGGACTTATAGGAACTCCTATATTTCTGGAATAAATACTTGTTCACAACTTAGATACCATAGTACTGATGTAATGAATGCAGATCTACCAGTTTTGCTTCACTCCTGCCTCAAAACCCTTTTAAACACACTGTTTAATTATAAAGTAAACAATCTAAATTGTCACATTATCAAACCTAATTCAAACACCTGGTTGAGTTAAGGACACGAAGCACAACCAAGAGATTTTGGTTAAGTTCTAAAAGATGTAGGCAAGACCAGAGCCATCTCCTTGAAATAACAAGCTAGTCATGACAGTAAATATTAGCTCAATTCCACTGAATCCTGAATGGAAAATATGAACCATGATACAGCACAATCACAGTAACGAAATACAGTAAGAACTTTAAGCACTTAACATTTTACAACATTTTTTTATCATTTCTAATGCATAAGGGACTCCTGGGTAACTTACAAAAAAAGAAATTTATTGCTTCCTCCGCACGTACTTTTAACCAACCTTGCCTGGTCAATTCTTTTATTGAATACCCTGGTTCCCCTTTAGCACCCCTCCATGACTCTGTTAGGCATACAGCCCACAAAAATTATTTCTTTAATTTTAAAATTATTTATCACAGAAGCTTTAGAGATACCTTTATCTTTTAATTTCTTTGAATATTATGCAACTTCATATTTTCTGCATTGCTTTTTCTCTATCTCCTAAATTATTCTATTTTTAATTTAATAACTTCTATGTAACTAAGCTAGTGACTTAATGCTAAACTGCGCCTTGCCAGAAGTACTAGCAGTTTAGCACTGAATATGATGGTCACTACAAGTCATTTCATTGAAATGCAATTAAATACAATAAATACATTAAATACAAGAAAGTCCTTATAGAAGATGGGAGAGGAAAGGTGGTGCAAAAAAATCCTTGAGAAAAAACTGTCTAGATAATTTAAGTTATGTTCTCCTTACTGCAAACAATTTTCAAAAAGAAGGTACTCTCTCTTTTGAGAGTAGCACACAGATGATCTCTGGAAAGTTTGTCAGAAAACCACCACTGTTATCTCCATCTCTTGTCAATTTTAGAAAGAGAGCAAACAAATTCTGATGAACAGAAAGTTCTATCTTAATATGACTACACAATAACACTGGCTCATAAACATTAATATTTCTTAAGAAAAGCTGGAATAGACCTGCAGTTTGGGAGCATTACAGTTGTTAATTTATTCCAGGTATGGATAAATGAGGAGCTCCTACAGAAAGGAGGTTATCCAACCTCAGCTGTGCACATTCTCACCCCTCTGGAAATACAAAGTAATCACATTTTTTTGTCATTGTCAGAGGAGCAGGTAACTCCAAATCACATTGCATTTGCCATATCACATTAACTTTGGCTCTAGCTGCACACAGTTAAGTATAAAATGCGGAGCACATCACAAAACAGTTCATGGCAAAAGTTTGTCTGTGTATCCACATCTCTTGCAAAGCACAAAATTCTGTACTTCACATGTTTACTCACAAATTGTGATTGTGATGATATGATCACAATTAGAGACAACATGACTCAATTGTTTGCAGGTTTTTTCCTAATACCTTTAGTTTAAAATAATATTGAAAAATACTTAATTCCAAAGTGGGGTATTTCAGCTGTAAATTAGGTTATTTGGATTTTTTTTCCCTTGTTGAGATCTCACCAAAGCAAAGACACTAGCATAACAGAGCATGCAAATTGCTGAGGCTACAGGAGATTCTTTTACACTCCTTTTCCTTTTGTGTTTTTCCAGTTTAGAAGCATGAACAACATCCTTGCTATTTTATATGCAGACCAGTTCAAACACTTTCAAAGCTTTCTTCCCCTACTAGTCTGCTGCTGGTGTGAATTTTCAAGCTCTCTGTGTGGCCGTCACTGAAACCACTTTAAATGCACCGAGTCAGACTCGGCCTCATTGAATCATGAAGTCACAGCTTTAAAGACCCGTTCATGAGCCATTAAATAGCACATGACACCAGCAGTTCAATGATGACATGATAGAAATTTGTCCATTTGATTAAAAGAAGATCCTTGCGGCCTGTGACCTAAATAAATGTTCACAGACCCTGATTTAATAAACACTGAATGACAGTCACACTGCAACTCCACTAAACAAAAGAATTCAAAATCTTACACTAAATGACCATAACTTGCAAACAAATAGTATCTGTCTTTGGCTGCTACAAATTTCCCCCAAAATTTCAATCTGCATAGTAAGTTGAAATATCCCAGAGACTTCATCTATTACAAAATCAAGAGGAGGAGTCCTTCAACGCTACCCAACTTTGAACCCAGGATTTAACAATGCTACAATGTGTAACCAGATCATTTCACATTTTTCTTTTCTAAACTGCTATAAGATCCCTGCTGAGGTGATGGCTGATGACAGATGACAGAGCTTGGTGTCTCAACTGACTGCCCCAAAAGACCTAAAATCAAAAAAATACTGTGAGTATTCAAGATTATTTTTAACTCATGTGCATCTGAAAAATATGAGGCTTCTGCAATGTTTTAAGCTCCAAAATTCGTTTAGTAAGTTCAAAAGCACAGACAAGCCGAGGTGTTTGAGAAGCAATACAAAATGTGTTTTACATACATGAATTAAAAGTTTAATTAGCAAGTTTCCCTTTAAAGTATCATGAAAGGCTATCTTTATCAGTCCCCATGATCATTATGTGAGCAATGACTGCATGGTTGATCTGCTTTTCAAGACTGAGTTGGTACTTTTAGTGATGTACCAAATCATATGGCTTTAAAAAAAATTACCAGTGTAATCCTTCAGAAGTCTACAAGTTTTAGATTTGCAATTTAGTGTGACCTCTGTCAAAGTTCATAAGGTCTCCATCTGTGTGTGAGTAACTACTAGGCTACAGAAATATGGACCCCTAGAGCAGCTTGCTCCTGACTACCTGCTGCTTCCAAAACACTGGCCAGACATTAGCCTCACACTCTCACAGGATCAAACAGAGGCTAACAGGCAGTGCTTATTTCATGCAAACTTAGACACTAAACTGAAGTATATTGTATTTATATTGCAGTGGTTTTCAGAGAATTTTTCTTTTTCTTGACCATATCTGTAGTCTGCCAGGAACAAAATCACATTTGTTAGCCTGACAAGCCATGACATTTTCAACAAACAAACAAAATCCTAAACTATATCAATTCATTTCTCCTCCAGAAAACAAAATTTCACTTCAGCTTCATGATTTTTACATTGTTAAGGCCGACACAGAACTCCAGTTACAGTTATGTTCTTCTTTCCTCTAAGTCAAAATATAATAATCACTGGTTTTGTACCCCTATTTTTTCTTTTTGCTTGGCTGTAGTTTTCATACAATATTGCATCAGTAGCTTCTTGGGTTTCAATTTTTACACACTATTTTACAGAATACATTTGTAAAAGAAAGCAGACTAGCATTTAAATTATGGAAAGCTAATGAAATTTTTTAAAACCACATATTCATACGCTTTATATAGAACACAAATTGCTGAGGTTCCACTAATTTGCCAGTTAAATTGTCATTATTGCCTAATGAATACAGGAACACACTAAACAATCACACTGCTCACCAGAGCTTATTAGCAATCCCCATTTAAGCCCTCATTAAAAAAAAAAATTAAATTATAATCAGAAGAAATTACTCCCCATACTGCCTGTCTTCATCTTGCTTCCTTCCCTCCTTCATTCTCTGCCTTAAAAACTCTGCTAAGTACACCAGACTTTTCATTAACTTAGCTACATACTGCAGCCTTACTCCAAACCTGTCCTTGCAAGAGAACCCAAAGACAACAATAAAATTCATTTTATATAAAACAATTTTATAACAGATTTATAAAGAGGCTATCACACCACATTTTTACTCACTAAAAATCAGAACTTGGAATGCCAAGGCACAAAATCATAGGCAATGTTTTCACTATAAATATTTACTGACACTAAACATATTCAGTGTTGATTAGCCTTTTTACAGTATTAAGCTTCTGTCATCTTGATGGCTGCAAACACAAATCTGCATTTATCCATGTAAACTTAATTGGAGTCCTACATGCCCCTCTGTAGATAAGCAGTTGAATAGACTTAACTTGCTGATAATTTCAAATGGTGCCAAGTGGAACAGAAAGAACTTATCTGCACACTTACTGACTGCAAAACCAACATGTGGAGCACAGGACTAGAGGTTTCTCTTTTTAACAAGCCAGCAAAGCTAAACTACCACCCAACAATTTAAATGCTGAATAAGAATAAATGTGATGAAGCTTAGGAGGTATCTCAGTTATTTCTCTAAAGAAAATATTAAAAAATATTAACTAAGCTCTGCACTAAGCATTATGAAACACTGATTACGCTACTGCTCACTTAAAACAAGAACATTATTGGATTTGCACAGACTATGAAAGCACCACTTTCAACACATGAACTTTCCAAGTCCATGATTACCACCCAGCAAGGCTCTATGTTCATAATTCCAAAAGTTTTTATAATATTCCCTAAAACCCTCAACATTCAACTGTTTAACTGTCTTTCAAAGCTTGTGTTTTGCTACAACTCACTTCAAAGCTGGCTATCCATGAAAAAAGACCCATCCCAAAAGCAAGGAAAAGAGGGGGCTTTAGCTTTTAATTTTAATACACAAACAGCCACATAAAATTCTCACATGGGATCAGTACACCACTGACCCTCAGACCTGAAAATGTATGCCAATTAAAAACAATAATTCTTTCAGATATAAAAGTCTGGAGCTTGCTGAACTCACACACCAGGATAAAGGGGGAGAAGAAGGGAGGTAAAAGGAGATAATATATGTTAAAATCATAGTGTAAAATCATAAGTTCAAACTCAAACTTTTGTGACTGCATGTCGTTCTGAACTTCTTAGTAAGAGAAAGAGGACCATTATTTACAGTGTTAGCAAATACAAATG